ATGGTGGTGGTGGAAGAACAACAATGGTGAATTTTTTTTTTGTCAAAGGCTTTTGAAGAGTGCAAATTAAAACCGTGCCTGAAAAGTGGACATACAAAAAATGCCAACCCAACAAAATTGTTAGTATTATCATTATTATTGTTCGATTTTTTGGAAAAAAATTTTTTTCTTGTCTTCTTGACACTCTGATTCCCTTTCTCCTTCTTTTCTCTTCTCTTTTCCAATAATGAAACGTTCATTGCGCTTATTGAACTGACAGTTATGTGGTGGTGAGCTGGGCAAATGAAGCAAATGGTATTGTGGAAGAAATAAACCTTTATATGGCAATTTTTTTGCGGTTGAAACAAAAAATCAAAAGCCATACTTTTTACGGAGAAGGGAAGAAATGGGAGGCCAAAAAACCAGAAAAAAAAAAGTGACATGAAATAATGGCAATTGTAAAAAATGAATAATAGCAAAAAGCAGACTTTTTGTTGTTGTACTAAATTTGCAGTAATAAATCACATTTTTGACATCCTTAATGAACATGTTTTCTGTTACGCAACTTTTGCTTTCAAATTTTTGTTTTTTTCTTCTTTCTCTTTTTCAAAGCATACGTATATGTACATATTTATTTATATTGAAATTAGGAGAAAATTAGGGTATACATTTCGTTTAATTTCACTTTTATCTCTTATTAATTTATTAAACTATTTATTTATTTATTTATTTTTATTTATTTTTATTTTTTATTTTTTTTATGCCTTTTGCTCTTGCTGCTACCGTTAAGTGAAAAAGGCAGTCATTTTTTTATTCTTCATTTTTTTTTTTTAAATGGCTGAATTAGCTGGAGAAGGAAAAAGGAAGAGCTGATTTCAATTTAAATACCGCTGAAAATGTGCGGTAGGGACAGTATTGGTTATTAAAAATAACCGACATCTTTTTGTCGAAAATGTAGAAACAATTGAATGGACTAGACGAGTGGCAGTTGCAAAAGGATCTTGTCATTGCTGTCGATGGTCTTAAAAGGTTGTTCGAGACAGCTTTAAGCCTCAATGAAAAAAAAACGGGGATTTTGTTTAGTTTATCAGTGCAATGATCCAAAGGAATAAGAATATTTTTTGGGCATGCGTCAAATGATCAGTAGTTACCGTCTTCACAGCAAATTTTCGTTTATCGTAAGACATTAACAGCTGTGTCATTTTTATCTTTTAGTCAAAAACGCTTAAAAAATCATATTAGAGAGTAAGCGAGACATCATGTAAAGCTTATGTTGATTGTAATTGAATGTTTACGGACGAAGAAAGCACTGGAGATAAGCTTAATTTTGCACGCTGGATTAACTTTTTGAAGCGAGGCATTAAAAAACATTCATTCAGCTGTCGGCAATGATCTGTGTAACTGCTTTTCTGACGGGAAATGAGTGGATGAGAAGAGAATAGAAAGCTGGCACTGTTGGCTGATAGAAGCCAAATTTGAACAGACACGTCACCTTAAACCAAACTGTTTTTGGCTGGTCGATCAACTGGCTGGCCGGCCAGCCGGTCAGCTGAGCAGGTTGGTAAGCTGACACAACTAATTGTTACACATGTAGTATTTTTCTTCTTTTCTGATCTCAAACTGCCGTAAAGAAACAGCAGATTCTTGAAATCACTTGGCCGGTGTCATGAGTGGGCTGAAATTGTATAGTTTGCATGACTTCATACAAATTTCGGAATACAGTTTTGTTTCTTTTCTGGATGAATCATTTTGTCAGTGTTTTTTCAAGAGGTCTTTAACGACTATTGTTAAAATATTGTATCAACATTGTATTAGAAAAAACTTTTTGTCTTTGACGGGCTGATAAAAAAACAAAACGAAATTGAAACTGACTTATTTCATCAAAAAAAGTGACTCATGCAAAGCTTTCAAAACACCAAGTCTGTTGTTGTGGGGACTAAAAATGATTTAGAAAGAAGTTTTCTTTGCAGTTAGGGATGCAATGGAGAAATTAAGAAAATTTTGGAGTATAGAAACCCTTTTATTTTTTATGGTTATTAGCTTTTTTGACTCAAATTTCTTTTAAACGCAGAACAAGGAATTTTAAATAACAGTAATTTGACGTCTGTTGAAAGCAAAAACAAATCACCAAAATTGGTCTGATTTTTTTTCCTAGTCGGAAAACAGTTATTTTAAAAAATCTGCCTTTGGTACGGCTTTTTTAAACTTTATTGTTTTCCATCGAGAAACTTAAAATTAGACCTAAATAAATTATTAGCTTACTATGCTCTATTATGGGAAAAAAAGTAAGGATGTTTAGCGAAAAAAAAAATCATTGTTGCATTGGTCTGCAGCGTTTTGAAACGTGCTGAAACAGCAGCATTTCGTCTGTTCAACCTTGGTAGCGAAAGTGACGACTAGTTTAATAGTCTTGATGGTGGTGGGAATTGAACTCAGGATTTTAATGATACCTATTAATTGCAAAAGCTTTATTAGCTTTGTCTTGAGCGGATCCGTTGGTTTTAGATTTGTGTAAAATCTTAGCCGACTTAACTACTATTACTTAAGCATATATCACTCTCTTATTGTTTTTGGTGTTGCCGATGAAAAGTCTTTATGTTTTTATCTTCGTTTTTAGACTTTCCGGAGATCTACGCACTGATGATGTAACTGATCCTTTCACTGACATTATTGCACCTAACTGTTTTTTTTTTTCTTTTGTTTTGGATCGTCACTCTCGTTTTTAATCCGATTAAGATGAAAAATTGGTTAAGTATTTTTTGATTAAGAAAGATTTTTTGTTCTTGTACTTTTCTCAAATAAATTTTAAGGCTTTTTTTTT